TAAGTAAGTCGTTCCAATACAATACATGATGCCATCTCCTTCACCCACATATGACTTGAGGGTACATCCATTTTCTTCCAATACAAAGATATTAACCGCCTAGCTTTCAGGAGTCCAAAGTCAAATAACTCTAGCTGTCTGGTGCTAAAGTCACAATTCTTTGGGTATATACCCAACACACACATTTTTGCTTCAACAGGTATATTTACTCCAACAATCTTAGATAACGTTTGCGTGATTGATTTCCAGTACTGCTGTAATTTTGGACAGCTGCATACACAGTGAAACACAGTGCCCTTCTCGTCTAAACATTTACTGCAACTATCTGGGATGACAGGCGACCAGCGATTCAGTTTGACTGGGGTTCTGACCCACCCTTTAGTGTGGTCTCTATGACTCTTGTGCCAGGAGCTTGTTCCTGTGCTGCTATGATTAGTGCCTCTGTGCTATATTTCAGTCCAGTTATGTCCAGCCATTGGTAGGATTTCTTGATATCAGCCAATTCTTCTAACAAAGGTAGAAGGCAGGCGCCATCCTTCCATGGTGCTTCCTGTTCTTGTTCCTCTTCTTTTTTGGGTTTCAACTGCCTGACATATTCACTAAGTACACTATTAGTTGTGGCCATCTTCCTGATGCACTCATGGATGTTTGTTGTTTAATCCTGCTGAAAAAGCATGATTCTATGAAGGGTTGCATAACATACAGGAACTACATCATCTGTACTTACTGTTCTTTGATAAGAAAAGAAAACCTACAATCTTTTGTCTTTTGTTGTAAAAGAACCATATAGCATTACATTATGACCAGCAAATTTAAGAATTATCATGGAAGCAAAGAAGAAAGAGTAAGGAAGGAGTTAAGATGGTTCAGCAAAACCTTGACTTCACTCCTTGCTATTCCTCTCCCTTCTCAAACTCACAATAATTATTTTAACTCTATCTCGGTATTGTATTTACTGTATTTAAATTCATTTATAAATCTAACCATGATGATTTTTTATGGTCAGTATCTGACAAAGTCTGCCTACAATTTTTTATTTTATTTGGGGTGGTCTAATACATATATATTAGTGCCTGTATGGGTAGCAAGTGATAGCAAAGTGATCATTTATACAATGGTTCGGAAGGGAGTCATGCTCTTCTGTAATGCCAGGGCTAAAAGGAAGCAGATGAAGTCAGTTATTTTCCTGTTTTGGTTATAGCTCCTCCTTAATCACATGTGTCTACTCTACAATTTCTTTTTTTCTTTTTTGCTCTGCTGCCTGATTCTAAGAGTTATAGTTAAAATGCACAACATCTTGTACTTTATCCCTTATCTATAACTCCATACTTTTTAGCAAATTAAATATGAATATTAAACAATAAAAAGAGAGAAAGAAAGTATATAAATTAAGATTAAGCTTAAGTTGGGTTATGGTGTTAATATCATTTCTAAATGTGTCCTATAAATATATCTTTCTCTTGTGCCAAACACAAATCGCTTCCCTTTGCTGGATTTATTTTCAAATAAGCTGGTAAGCTGCTGGTAAGATGGCAAATATTAAGCCAACTCCATGCAAAACTTGGAAATGAAAGTTAACCACAGGGTTTCTCTTCTGTAAATCTTTTAGCACTCACTCAATACATCAAAAATTAAAACCTATGTATTTCCCAGGAGATATACAACACCTGTCTGGCATAAACAGAAAGTCTTACCATGAATTTTATTTCCGATGTCTGAGATTTCTATGCTCTGTAACAGAACACCAGTGACATTTCAAGACTTCTCCAAATTTAAATCCATTACTGGCTGTGATATTACATTAACAGGACACGCATGTGCTTAGTATAAGCTATGTGAACTTAATATCTGTTTCCCTTCAAGATTTATTTGAATAAATAATCTACAAACCATACAATACAGTATTATAATTTGCTTTAGACATTTTGTGGGCATTACTGATCTCCTAAAAATGCAGTTTATATACTTTCAGTGAAATATGAACCAAATGACATTTAATACTGTTTTTTTAAAAATAAGAACCAAAATTATATTGATTGTAAAAATAGTTTTAATAAAAGAAAGATTTGAGTTGATGCCATTTAAGTATAATGTCATTAATCTGCCATTATTATTGCATATAATTTGTTCTTTAATAAAATAAAGAAATTAAATGTATATACATTTATTATTGTACGTATTATTATTAAAATCCTCTGTAAAATGGTAATTTGATGTGTAGAAAATGACGCATTAGCTTATTTTTGACCATATCTATCAGCAAGGTGTCAGAGAATCCTGACCAAACTTAGTGAGCTGCAAATGCTGAGGAAGCAGATCCGATGTGTATAAAAGCAGGAGCTCTGAGTGTTTGCTCTAACTGAAAGGCTTCTAAGGCAGGTGAGTAGAGTCAACATTTTCCTCTGCCATGTCTCTGCTGTGAGTTAATAGATTATTTGTTTTAGTAATCAGTTATTTAAATTATTTTACACACTGATACATTTTTGTGAACATTTTGTTTTTAAATATATTCTTAAAGTCTTTTACAAAATCAAGTCAATATAAAAAGTGCATGAATCTACCTTTAACCTTATTTTATAGTGCCTTGACATACAC